CTCACACAACATTACTATTTAAAAAGGATCTCTGAGTTTTCTTTTGATGTGGAAAGTAACAAAGAACGACACGATTTTTAGTCTTCTTTTTGTTCGTAGCTCATAAATTTTAGAAATCTTTCAAATACCTTTTTGTGTTAAATTAAATAATACACATTTATATACCTCTCAAAAAACTTTAAAGGTATATTTTATTTTAATTTTTTTTTCACGTTAAATCTTTTGATATGAAACTTACATATAGATATGGAACATATGCTTGTTTAAAACTGAAGTTAACGATCCATCTCTGAGATACAACTGTAGACTGTTTCTGTTAACAATATTTTTTCTCAGCTTTTATTGGAGCTGGCATAATATCAGATGAGTCTTACACCAAAGAGGTTGTAGTATTGATTATCACATATACACCTGTACTACAATGTATTGGCTATATATAGAAGACTTGAATTTAACATGTATTACCAGTTACTATATATAGAAGAAAGATTTTCCCCGCTCATATTAATCGCTTGCGTGCACTTTAAATATACACTGAAAAAGTGTATATAAATATATTTCGGACCACTGACGCTAATTTTTCTCATCTAAAATGACTGGGAACGTCGTCCGACAGAGTAATATCGGCCTGGTGAAAAGAAGGATCCCTGCTAAACATTCTGAATACAGGGATCTTCAGGCGAGGATCCAAACATTTATATCATGGCCGATAAAAGTTCAGGCTAAAACACTCGCAGAAGCGGGATTCTTTTCAATCCGTAAGCCATTCCTAAAATCCTCTCAACTATGCACAATCAAGAAAAATAATTAAATAGATTTTTCCCAACAGATTATTATTCACGATTTTAACGATATTAAGATTTCTTAATCTACTTTTTTCAGAGGTAGAAGACTCGGTGCGTTGTTTCCAGTGTGGGGTGGGGTTGAGAAACTGGGACCCCGAAGATGACCCCTGGGTGGAGCATGCAAGATGGAAGCCAAGTTGTCCATTTGTAGTCAACAATACCTCCGCTGAATTCATCGCACAAGTTCAAGAGGCTGTACGGAGAGAGGAGGTAATTATTGGAAGTACAAAATATAAGAAATATTAAAATGAAATTCAATATTTAAAGTAAAAACAAACCAAATAGAAAATAGATAGATAAATTTATTAAAACAAAAAATAAGAAGATACATTGTACATAAATAAATTCTAAATAAATAAAAATATTATTAAAAAAATAATAATAATAAATGTTTCGGGTTTTTTTCGTTTTCTCTTGTATTAATTTCTTTTTTTTTAAATATATTTATATATTCGAATTATTGTAATTGGTTAACCTGTTCATGAGAAATTACTTGTACTTATATATTTCTGTTTTTATTCAAACAGAGGATGGAAAAACCTTACAGGGTCCCTCATTTTGGAGGAAATATTTAGATTAGAAGATAAAGGATGTTCAACTAGCAGTGAAAGTTTCAAATCCAAATCCAAGCAACTCTCCAAAGGTTTGTGGATTTTTTTAATATATATTTTAAAAATGTCTGTCAAGAAGAATCCAAAGAGTATTCAATTTTCCCAATAACAATTAATAAGATTACTGTTATTTAATTAATCTTTCATGGTGGAGAAAAACATATATTTAATGTAAATTGTATCTTAGAATGTATTTTTTTAAAATAAATTTCAGACGAAATGAAAAAGGAAAACGAATCTATGCGAGATGCACACACATGTAAGATTTGCTGCGATAAAACGGTTGCAATAGTTTTCCTTCCTTGTGGTCATCTTGTTTGTTGTGCTCAATGTGCTCCAGCCCTAAAGAAGTGTCCAGTATGTCGCCAACAGGTCAAAGGGTCAACAAGGGTCACATTTGGAACTTGAACAAGATCTTGCATGATTAACCTGAATAGCAACTTTGGAAGAAAGGTGAAGTTAAAGTGAACCCTGCGTTCTGGGAAAATGTCACAAAGTTGGATGTTTAATAAGCTGCATTTGATAACCAATCTGGGCATTCACGCATATGTTTTGTAGTACCTATAAAAAATATGCAAACGGTTTTGATTCGTGGTCTTCATGACTTTATAAAGTAATAGGCACGCTTAATTTTTAGGACGGGGTATTCATTTATTTATGTATATAAATTATGATGTGTTATTAAATCTTATATACTCAATTTATGAAACAGAATATTAAAGAAAAGTTCTTTGTAGTTTTATGTGCATTAAATAGAATTTTTCGTGCATTAATTATTTGAATTTTGCTTTTTTTATTTTTTAAATCATAATTTTTGCGATGAAACAAAGTTTTCAATATGTTTATGAATTGGTGTATAAAAAATGGAGATAACCTACTGTATTCAAGGCCAAAAGTTCATAAACAATGCAGTTTAAATAGGAGTAGAGCAAGCACGCACCTCAATAATCAGAAGTAAGATCGGGTACCGTGGAGGAGTGAGCATCTCCTGCAGAAAAATTCGTCAATTCAGTGTTTAAATATTATGCTTATTATTCGGTAATAACCAATATTTGCCCCCCAAATTAAACTTTGATGGAGATATATTTTATTAAGTTCTTAAACAGGGGAGTATATTCTGACTTCAAAGCACTGAATATGTTCATAAGTAATGACGCCATATGTACGTAATGACGTCACAAACATGACGTAAATTTCAGTTTTTTAGGAATTTTACAGAAAAATGTACATATTTTGTCGATATTTTGAGTAAAAGTCACCGAGCGCATGTGTGTTCAGGATCAGTATTTTGATATTTCGTGTAGAATGATAATATCAATGAAATATGTCAATATTGTTCCTGAACAAACCTGCGCTCTATAAATTTTAAAGCTAAAATTGTTGAAATTTTGTCCATTTTGTCCTCTTTCTGAAAAAGGATATAAAATCGGACTAGTTTGTGACGTCATAAAAACAAAAATTGTGAATACACTTTTTTGACACTATAATATTTAAGAAATAAGGTATCATTTTTAAACATCTATCGGGATATAAATACGGGTTGGTCACGAGATTAAATTCCATAAAGCCCAAAGGGTTTTATGATGAATTTAATCTCGTACCAACCCGTATTTATAGCCCGATAGATGTTTTAAAATGATACCTTATTACTTATATTTACATTTGTGACTTATTCATACTTTATATTTGCCTGATTGTGACTTTGAACGTGTGAAATGCGTTATTTTTCAAACCCAACGGCATGTATGCAATCCACTGAACGCGCGTCGATCCTTTATGACGTCACAGAGAAATTACGTCGAACGTTTATCCATACGCACATCTATGACCTCTTGACCCCGTACCTGTATTTATACAGTTATAGATACGCATTGCTTTCAGTAGTGTTATATAAAGAAAAACATTTGCAAATGTAAATATTTTCTGTTAATTTATATTTCTCATATAATTTATTGAATTAAGCATATTTGAGGAAGTTTTCAAAATTTGACTTTTGTGGGGACAAATATATGCAATATACCGCATGTAGTTCTTTGCTGACAAGATCATTGTATCGACCATAGAACCTACGAAATGATATTGCACATTCTATTGCACATTCTAAATTTGTCACTTACATGTATTAACTAGAATTAAAGATTTTGTTCTTCGTGGTCTTGAGAGCAATGAAAAATAGCGACTGATATTCTTAAGCTTTACTTTTCTTATTTTTGATATACAGGATTTTATAGAGTGTTTCTTAAAAATAAGAGTGCTATTTAGTGCTATTTACTTTTAAGATTGACTTTTGAGAAAAAAAAATACTGATAAAATTAAATATTGAAGCAAAAATGAACAACAGAAATAATTCAATAATTATAATACTTCAATTAAAAATCGTTGGTTAATATTACTATTTTATACAAGGTTTATCTGGGTCCTCTCATCAGTTTATCTTACCTCATTTTTTTGACAATGCGATAAAGATTTTTCTTGTCTTTTCTTTCCTATCGTTTCGATTTTTATTACTTAAAAATCTTGCGTCGACCATATGAATATAAGAAAAAAAAAATAAAATCAAATATTTTTGAAGTTATATCTGTAAGTGTTGAAGTACTTTGTATTTGAGCATTAAACTGTTATATCTTACAAGTTAACATAAATAATCGCTTTGTTTTATTCACAGTCATTGTTTTATCAACTCTTTTACACGCATATTCTATTTTCTATAAATGGAGGCAAACATGTTTCGTAGTTAGAATATTATGAAAGACGCTATAGACAACTCTAAGAAAATTATTTCCAAAATCATGCATGATTCCGCAGCTGGCTTCTCCTCAGTTGTAATGTAAAACAATGTTCTTTTATCAGTTGGATGTTTACAACTTTAAACTTACAGCATTTGAATTACTGAAAATGAAGGCAATTGTCATAAATCTATTTTTATTTTGTTCGATAGAAATATAGCAAAACAGAAATACATATCAAAAGCTATTAAGCTTTGAAACACTTGAAATTCTAAACAACAACTTGTTATTCGTCTCTCTCTCTCTCTCTCTCTCTCTCTCTCTCTCTCTCTCTCTCTCTCTCTCTCTCTCTCTCTCTCTCTCTCTCTCTCTCTCTCTCTCTCTCTCTCTCTCTCGTGTATTATTCTTTATTTCACGTATTTAATTCCAACCACTGTGACTTTTTATTACATTATTTATATATATCTATAAAGTAGTTCTATTCTTGAAATTGGGTGCAACAATACCTGTATACATAATCAGTAAGCTAGTCAAAATTACATAATTCACGAAGAACTCTTCAATTATCTTTTGTACTTGAAAACATTTAAAGATTACGTAATTCAGGCAAAGTTTTGCTTTTAAGAAATAATGATGTGCAGCATGCCAGGAACAAGCCTTTAATAACGCTTTATATTTATGATTATGAGTGGATTTTTGTTTACTCAGTTTGACACAACATTGAATTTCGTCAAACTCTATAAAATTACGCAATATAAATATTTGAATATGCTTGAAACTAAAGAACGCAGATATTGAAAAGATGTGTGTTGTTCAGGTTTCTTTGAATTACTTAATCTTTTACAGTAAGGCAAATTTGTGCGAGATAGGTAAAGATAAAAAAAACAGTGAATAAATATCCTGCACAATACTTAAATAGAGAAATTTATTAGCATTTCTTAATATTTAAATGCAAAGAATGTGTTTTGATTCTGAGGAGCTTAATTACTAACGAGATAACTTTAACTTTTCAATTATCATCTTTCCTTCCCTTACTTATGCTGCAATATACTTTCATCGACTGCATGCAAGGTTTATATCTCTCAGTTGATCCAATACGCAATCAACAATTTTAAAAATGATAAATATTATTAAAAAATAAGCTGCAAGAATATTAACAGTGTTGTTTAAAGTCATCATTTCATAATTATATAACTTCCATGGTTGATACAATGACCTTATCAGCAAATACAATTTTATCTTTTACTCAAAAACTGACTGGCATATTTTCATTAGTGTTAAGAGACATTCTCTGTCATGACTTTGAATTTTATACAGGAGCTGTAGAACGCACAGTCTTATCATTTTCTCCAAAATCTACATGATAAATGTCTTTGAAACCCAAAACTAAAATCAAACAAAAAAGTTGCAATGTATTACAATTACCATAGCAACATGTCTTGAAGTTTGTAGAAAGGTCTCTTTTAACATGTTGAGAGCCCCATAATGGACATTTGGGGCAAAGCAAACAAATTATAATCACTGTTTCCAAAAGTTATAGGCCTGGTATATTAAATAAAGGGCAAACACTTTTGGTAAATCAACAATTACATACAAAATTAAAAAAAAATAATTCGAAATTATAACATTATTCAATGAATGTTATATAATCAAAACGTAAAAAGAAAAAAAAAGTATAATGGAAAACTTATTACATAATAGGGAAAAGGGCCTTGAAGCATACACGCAGGACAAATTATAATATTTCATATTGGGTTGAAATGGTCGGCATGGATTTTATACCACAAAAAGCCTTCACATTTTCACTCTGCATCTAGATTAACCTTTTATAAAAAAAAAGCTCTTTTTTTCTCTAAATAACCGATGATCAACT